AGGAAATACCCAGCACCTGCAGGAACCATCCACACGGAAAATGCCATCAACCCATTTTGTTTGTCTACCTAGGTCCCCCGGATCCATTTGCCAGGAAAGAAAAGCGATCTCCTGATTTGCCATCCAACTCAACTGATCCACTCAAGGGATCCAGGCGGGTGCGGACAAAAGCGGCTGAGGTACAGTGAGTTGAGCCAGGGTCAATAATCATTGCCATTTGACATCGGACTTTTCTTTTGCGGCGTCCCTTTGAAAACATACAACAAAGGGTATCCAAAAAGACATTCCCCTATCTCATTCAAAGGTTCTTTGCCATGCTGCGCCTCTCTCTCTCTCGAGCTGCAGATACTTTGTAGACTCTATATAAACCTGGCATTGTGGACTGTCGTTCCGATGCTTGTTTGTGGTTGTGAAATCCCGGCTTTGACCTTCACTCGTTCTTTCCTGGTGAGCACTGGGCATATTCACCGTCGGACAACACATGACACGTTCTCACGGTCAAAACCCTTTGCCCATTTCTGGGTCCGAAACTGCCCGCTTCCTCCAAACAGGAACCAAGCCCGCTCGATCAATTAAAAGGCCTCGTAGCCAGGGCATTCCTCCACTTTCCGCAGGAGCCGCGAGATGCCCATCCCGGGAAAGAAGTCCACCTCCAGGTCTGCGTCCAGGGACTCCCGCAGGTCTCCGTGGATCGTGGCCTTCTTTCGGTTCCGCTTCTTCCTCAGTTTGGAGAGCAAGCACCAGGAGACGTCTCAAAGAAGCAAGCATCAACGTGGGCAGTCCGGGGGTGTCAAGGGAAACAAAAAGAGAGCTCATATCAAGTGGATCTCATATTAAAGGCACGAAAACATCGGACACTGTGTCAAAACCCTGGCTTTTATAGCCCTCAATCAGTGAGTGCCCCTTGCTGCTTGGCTCGTCCATTAGCTTTAGTCTTTCAAGGCAGAGGTCAGGAAGGTCTACCACACAAGTTGTTGATAGGAGAGATAATTTCGCAGGCCAGGCCGCAAGTACAACGAGGAATCCCCGATGAGGCCATACTCCGGCACCCCGTTCATCTTGAAGCACCGGTTCCGACGTGCCGACAGCCACTACTTGAGTGGTGCGTAGGCTGCGGCGGCGCAACGAATCCGGGCAAGCTGCACCACAAGCCCTGGATAAATGCTGTGGAATATCTGCTGTGCTGTATTTATTCACTCAAGCCACAGAACCCAGAAATAAGGTTGACCCTCGGGGGCCACTAAAAATGGACTGTTAGGAGCTCGGTTTGTCCCGGGTCACCGTTGGGGCAAATGTCAGCATGCACTTGCCTGAAAAACACGTGTGTGTTTTTGGGGGCTCCGCAAAATGCCTTCCTTCGCCTCCCCATGAATTCCAGAAAGCAAGGGGTGCTCTCAAAAAAGAAACACCCATGTCTCTGTTTCCTAATTGGGCTGGGCCAGCATCCTGTAAAGAGGAACCACGACAAAAGGGTAGCGGAATGAAGAAGTCCAAGGATCCACAAGTTGGTTTCAAACAAATCAAACTTGGGTGATGTGTTTCTTCCAACTGGAAACCGAGGTGTCCGGTAGGATTGGGCCCAATGGTCCACAAGCAGCTTCAAATGGGACCATGTCCAGTCAGGTCTCGACCAAAAGTTTCCCCTACCCGTGGAGAGAGCCAACCCAAGTGCAATCCACGGAGAGGTCAAGAGACAAATCGTCAGGATCCCTGGGCCGTGCGCTTGAGGTGGCCGTCCGTCTCCTTGGGAGTCTCCCACTTGTCCTCCATGGGGCTGATGGTGCCGTAGGGCGGCAGAGTACGGGCGGTGAGAGGCACAGCAGGCTCGACACGCGCTCCGGATGCGTCGACGCGAAAAGCATCGGGTAGCCGCCCCACGAGTGTGTCAGAAGGTTGAACTGCTCGGGCAGGTCCAGCGCCGCGACCGTCTTCGCAATCCACGCCACGCCTTTGTGGTGGTTCCGGTTCCACGCCACGCCTTTGTGGTGGTCGGTGCCAATGGTGGTGCGGTGGCTCGGCGGCGAGCGTGTGTTCAGCCCGAGGTTCATGACGTCGATCGCGATGATGCGGAAGTGCGGCGCGAGGCCCTTGAACATCCTCGCCCACGAGCCGGCAAAGTCCATGTTTCCATGCATGTACAGCACGGTTGGCTTGCTGCTGTCCTTGCCAGTTCGCACATCGAAGGGCGCGCCGTCCATCGTTATCTTGGTAAACGCCGACTCGTAGCTCCCAGCCGCCCAGCCCGCATGTCGGAACACCGCCTCCTCGAGCGGGATCGTGCTGCTGACCCACTCATCCTCGGGCAGTAAATAAAGCGTCTTGCCGCAGCAGCAGCAGCAGCAGCAGCAGCAGCAGCAGCAGCAGCAGCCTTCACTTTTCGGTCGTTTACCTTAATTTTACCCCGCTGCCTTGACGGCTGGCTCGATTTGAGCAGATGCACAGGTCGACTGCAGAGAGCGCCCGCAAAGAAAGCGGTTAGCCCCTTCTTCGGGCTCCCGGCCCGAGCCATGGCCTGCGAGTCCTGGCATGAGGGCTTTTGGGACCCCTGAGTTTGGATTGGTTTCAAGAGGGAAACCACAAGGAAACCAACCATCCAGAGAGGGTCAGGTTTGACACATACCCATATCTGGTTTGTCGCAAAATGGGGCGACACCAATAAGACTCTTATTCTGGTTGCGCACACGCGCCTGGGCGGGCACGCGCAAACGAACTAGGTGTGTCCTAAGTAAGGAGCACCCATGGATCACCCCAGTGCAACAAGCACAGGCGTGCGGTGTCTTCAAACTTCGCACCGTAGCATTGCCCCATTCAGAGCGAGAAGGAATATCTTGCTTGCCCATTGTTCTTTCAAGCAACGCCGCTGCGCTTAACTTCGTCCGTGCTTTTGGATCGTTGCTCCACTCGTCCTTTGCTTTTCTGGCTGACAGCGACTTGGGTGCCAGGAACATTCACGACCAAGTAACGCAATCCATGCTCCCGGCCCTGGGTATGTTTGGCAAAGTTTGTCAAAAGAACTTGCAGCGCCGTCTTATCCAGCACTCGTTGAGAGCCTCCAATTTTGCAAGCCCACCCCCCCCCTCCCGTTTCTGCTTGCTCAGCGCAAACAACTAGGGAACACACTTTGGACCAGCTCGACCGTCTGGGTTCCATTGCATCAACTGGCCGAACAAACTCAAAATCAACTTGCCGACTGTGAAAGTGCTACCTGAGACTCGTTAAACTCCCTGCCTCCCACATCGGCCAGGCTGGTGTGGAGTTCACCTGGCGAATCTGCCGAAGTACGCGGGTTGTTTCCAGTGGCCGCCTTGGGCTCTGATTCTGGTCATATGGGCCTGGGTGTGTTTTCTTGAAGGTGCAAATAATGACACACCCGTACGCGGCGAGAGCGTTGCGCCCTGGAGGGTCCAGTCGGACTCTGATTCCTTTTGCGAGTTGAACAAAAACAGCCATGGCTTGGGAGGGTCTGTACTTCAGCCCCAAGGCGCGTTCCCATTGTTTCAGGCATGGTCGACGCTTGGCAAAAAACTCGAAGTTCACTGAAAGCCCCGGAAGGCGATGACTCTGGCAGTGCTGAACACTTTGTGTGGGATCGCTCGGACTTTGAACATGCTTTGAACTGCTACTGCTTCTCTTGCACAATGTCTGAATTGAAGCCCCCACTCGTGTTCAAGTTGTGGCACTTCCTTCAGGCTGCCTTGAGTTGCACTCTATGGTCCAAGGCTCCCTAGGTCAAAGTCGCTTCAACCGGCTGGATCGCAATGGCCGGGGTGCCAAGAGATGAGACCCTCAGAAGCGTTGAGTTGGTGAAAATTGCAAGCACTGTGTCAAGTGCGATGGTACATTGGGTCGCTTCGGCTGTCTCCAGTTAGTCTCTCCAGTTGTTCCAATGCTGTGTTAAACAGGGTTCATTGTATATGCATCATGTGTTGCTGGACGCTCGTGTTTACAGCCATTTCGCACCTCAGTGCGCTGGGGCTGACCCCTCCCACTCCCCAGCATGCCTCGGCCACGTGTTTTTCGCCTGGCAGTCGAGCTTCAAGAACTTGACCATCTTTGCGCTTTATGGGGGGTTGATTCTTCTTGCTGGAATCCCATAAGAGCGGACCAAATAGACCAAGGCAACTACTAAGACTATCTGCACGCTTGCTATGGATGTCCCAAAGAGCACGGGAACGCGCAGCAACGTTGACATCCTCCACTTCAACAACACCACGCGACTACATCTGTGTCAGTCCAGCAATCCAGTTTGGAGTCATTAAGTCATGCGTCCCCGGCAAATGCTTTAGGCCTGCTCAAGCTGCGGGGACCTCGGCTGTGCTTGGTTTCTGCATCATTCATGTCTCTGAATAAAGATAGGCAAACACACACAAAGTATACATATTTGGTTACGTGTCCCTACTTTGGGACCACCCAAATGGTGGTGTTCCTTCTGGATTCCCTTCGAACCGCCCCAAGATCAGGTAACCCTTGATTCCTGGTTTGGATTGGTTGTTTGGGGACTTGAAGCCCTGGTTTTTCTGAAGGGTAAATGGGAAACCATCCAAACCATCCGGGAAGCTGGACAACACCGGTGTATCCCCCGCAGCCGAGATTCGGTCCGAGCCTGGCGCGAGGCCCATGGATCCCAGCAAAGCCTGACCGGGTGCTTGGCTCTCTCATGGCGCCTAGAAACCAGTCCTCACATATCTAGATATCTAAAGATGACATATCTAAAGATGATATGGGAAGGTGTCAAGATGGTATCTATAAGATGCTCCCAGTCCTGACATACCAATCATCTAAGCTAGGTCCGGGGATTTGAAGCATTGCATATGATCCGACTGCTCACTTTGAAATGTTCACCTTGTGGAACCTTGACCAATAGGCCAAAAGGCTGGCTCGTCTTTTTTGGGGGGTACCCCGTTTTCGTAGTGCTAAAGGACTGCCAAAAGGAAAGCCACATTATTTGCTGGGGGAGTACCCTGAAGAACAACGAGCCTCGCAAAAGAGGGAAAAACCCTGTCATGTCCATCGGTCGATTCGCTTGCGAATCGACGAAGGCCGCCTTCTGCATGGCCAAGGTCTTCTGTGAGCGCTGGGGCCTCGCTTTCAAGTCATGTCCCCAGCCCACAGACTGGCAGTGTGTTTTACTTTGCCGACAATCACTGGACTGTGCACATGTGTATGTGTTAAATTCACCGACGTGTGCAGGAACCTTTGAGCTCGCCACAAAGTGATAGCGGAACACAGTAAGACATGCTCGATTCGGCAGCCACCAAATGGTAAAACCCATCGACACAGGATCTCAATGAGGTGTCCAGGGATGACACACTGGAAGCAGCAAACCACATGTTCAGCTTCCATGTTGGGCCACTGTTCAAGGGAAAGCACACAGGACTGATGGTGCAGAGTCGAGGGAAGCTTGCTGTTAAAAACGCAGGCGGCAACACGTGGCATGTCATCAAAAGCCGTGGAAACACACTTGGAAAGTGGATCAATGCCTCAATGGCTGAAGAAACTCCCCCGTCAGACTCAGATTTGCAGATGCCAGAAGATGCATTGTGATATGCTGCTGGACATCGAAAGAGTAGACATCGCGAGATAATCTTGATGTGTTCCGAGGGCATCTGAAACTCTCCGATTTCTGGGGCCAGCGCTTGGGCAAACACGATGACCAGGCGCCATGCCTTATCTTTTTTCGGGTTGGACCCCCTGAAATGACGCGACGGTCTTGTTGGTTTCCAATAAAATCCACCCGAAAACGGGCACCAACTCAAAAAAGACACTCCCAATTATTGGTCAGAAAGAGCCTGGACACTTTCGGAAACCGCAAACCGACTGCGGGGCAAATAGGCTTGTTTCTGCTAATTCATGCTCGTCTAACCTTGAGTAGCATGGAACAGCAAGGGTTCTGCAATCAGGGGGATGATCGGAGTCCAAACTCATGAGCACGTTGGTTGTTCCTCCCCCGTTGTCTTTTTGGCCCTAAAGGGAATCCCAAAATGCCAAATCAGCAAACATCCCTTTTGTCAGTGGGCATCAGGGGGAAATCTAGGCTAAGCGGAGCTGGGGAAATCTTTTGTGACCCATGGGAACTATAGAAGGTCTAACAAACCGTTTGACGGCCAACTGTTCTGGCTCCTTTTGGTTCCAACCATGGGACCACCAGGCAGAATCTGGTGACTTAGCCTCTGGGGTCCGGTCGCGGAAGCGTCCATCACAGCCTGCGGATGAGAAGAGCCGTGGAAAACTGGCGCCTATGATCAGCCAACTAGAACTTGCAACCACTCCAAAGCAGCGATTGCACGGCAAGAAGTGGAAGGGAGGTTTCTTCATGCCAGTACAGTGTCAGGGAGACAGCAAAGCAAGCAAAATATCACATGTTACAGACATACGGTTAAAATCGTATTGTTTGCACGCCCGACCTAAGGCACCGTATTCTCCCTGAGTTCGAATGTTAAGCAATGTGCCAGTGTTGCATGGAGAATCATGCAGCCACGTCAGCATCGAGGGACTTTACCCCAGCAGTTTTTTCTGTTCCGTTCCCGGGTGTTGCTCAAAAGGTCCGTCCTTTTTGATGAGACACGAAAACCATTGAGGAAGCCACCAAAACAAACGACTTTCACCACCAAATGGCAAAAGTTACCCCCCCAGGGAAAGCCAAACGGTAACTTTTCTTCTGCTTCTTAGGGGAAACAACTCTGGGGAATTGGGCACCCAAATTCAGCTCCCGAAAAGATCGGCCGCCTCGGGCCACTGGTAGCCGCTCACCTGATCGAGAGCCGCAGTCGAAGCATGTAAACATTGGTAGGTGCCGGTATCAGTTTGGTGCTCACGGTTGTACACCCTTCGTATGCTTGCAGGGGCATCTGCCCAGGGGTGTGTGGTTGCGCTCTTCGATAAAAACATGTTCAAAACAATTGTGGGGAATCCATTCTCTTTACAATGCTTCGGGAATCCAGCAAGAGGGTTTCTTTTTTTGCCCACCAGGGCAGGTTGGCGAGCTCTCCTTTTGTTGCCTCCAACAGGATCCTCAGGGTGTAAGTGATCTCTCCGATCAAAACAACACCCTCCCACCAATTCGTAAACTTGAAGGGCGCTTACCGCAAAGGGACATGACGGTAGTGCGAATGATCTGCAAAAGGATTGGCAACCCTATAGTACTTGAGCCAAGTGTACTCCAGCCCTTTGTGTACCACAAATTGCAACACAATTGTCTCCAGGCAGGCAACCGTCTGAATCTTCAGCGACGTCCAACATCAAAGGGGCAAGCTGCAGTGCAACACAGCCGCCCGTCGCCGCGCCTCGCTCGCAAAGGCTGGAGATGCTGCCTACCAAGGTCCGAAAAGCGAGATCGTCGACCACTGGGTCTATCTTAGCAAGACATCCTCAAACCAAAAATCACCCAAGAGGGGCCCACACAGTTTCCATCAGAATCGGCACCTGCCAAATTAGTGCGTCAACACCGAACCACTGTACGCCGCACTCAATGAGGAACTTGGCAGAAGAGTGACGTATGGATCATGTTCCATGCATCGCTGCTTCGCTGTTTCAGCCCTGGGTTGACTCGCCCGAGGGAAGTTGGGAAGGTGGCACTCACAATCCGTCCCAAGCTCGCCCGGCCTGAACCTTTGCAGGCTGCTGGCCTTAGTTGATCTCAGTCGCAACAAAGTCACTCAGCTCAGATTGGAAACGGCAAGTGCGGGGTTTTGTTCTAGAGGCAAACAAGGAATACTGAACCTGCACCACAACGAAACTCAGAGATCTACTTTTACACACGTTGTCGGCATAGAACCCGAGGTGCAATGGTGCGCTGTCCTGGAGCCTTGTCTGCTATCGATTGCTTTAGCCCAAACTCAAGCAAGCTATACTGGCATTGATGGCAGTGTCGCCGACTGGATGTCTGACTTGGAAGCAAGCTCGAAGGACTCTAGGCATTCGAGAATGAATGAACAAGCTGCCAATCAAAATGTTTGTTGCAGTAACTGCAGTTGGCTTGACAAAAGCAACCAACAGTGAGCCAGGCACCTGGGGGAGTCGCCCACCTTGAGGCATGGCGGAACACCGGAATACTTGAGATGAAATATGCCTGGGTCATATCGCACTTGGGATGTTCCCCCATGTTGGTTTGACCCGTGCTCTTCCTGTTGACAATCACCCACCGGAAAAACACCTGGCGAGTCCCCATACATTCACCAAATTGCCGGCTATCGTTGTGCCCTCAGCACCTGGAATCCAGCGAATCAAGCATCTCTTGGATGCCGGGCAAAGGCCCATCGACTGCAGCAGCGCCTCGAATTCAATCTTGCCAGCAAAAAGGTGTCCTTATCAAAGGGGCCAGTTAACCTATCAAAAAGGTTAACCTATCTGTAGGCCTAGTTTGTTAAATATGGAAGCAGAAAGGTTGAAATCTAGGGATCGCCTTGCCCCTTGGATTGTCGCCTGACTTGAGCCCACAGTTCTTCAAACTAAAAGGGAAGTTGCCTCAATTCAGTGGACTCCAGCGGCCTGTTCGGCACACCGAGACAAACGTGTTGGGTGGGGAAAACGTCTTGGTTCACAGTTTCGGAGCCACTCGGAACCAGTGCTTGGGGATAATTTGCAGGAATATTCTTGTGCATGGCTGTGTCAGCTTTTTAGGTCACCCCGCCATTCCCCTCTCAAACCACAAAAGAAGGTACCCGCAAAAAAGGCATACCCAAATGGGCAGCTCTCTGACAAACGAAAACTGAAACGACCACGGGAGGCAATTCTGCTTTAAAAAACACCCTCAGTCACTGACAGAGGGTGCGGTCGTTTATTGTTCCCTGACGCAACAAAGTGGCGTGGGGCATGGCCGAACTTCTAGATTGGTCGTTGACCCCCTACAAAAGGCTAAACATGTTGCCAGTTTGTGGTGGAACATGAACTTTCCAACGAGAATCGTCTTTGTCCTTGACACGTCAGACCCTAGACTCCGATTTCCATAAAACGGGCGGCTCGTCGTGTTTTTGGGGGGCCGGAGCCGACGGAGCCGCCTGTCGGTTGGCCAGGCCCCTGGAAGTCCTCCTCCTGGGAGCAACCCCTCCCACCGATTTGACATGGGACCTGACGTCCGGGTGTTGGATCAGACCGTGTTCCTTTTACTTTCAGGTTCCCTATTCATTGGTGGGAGGGTGCCCTACAGACTATCCTGGCACCTTAAGGTGACTCAAAAGGGGGGGTCCTGGATTGGACCGTTTTCCTGTTAAGGCTTTAAGGGGACCCCCACTGTCAGGTTCCATGTTCATGAGGGGGAGGGTAGCCCACAGACTAACCTGGAACCTGCAAAAGCCACCCATGTTTTAGGATGGAACCTCCGAATGTGGGAATCGAGCCCCCTTGGGTTGCTTCCGTTTTGTAGAGTATCGCCAGCCCCGGGGCTTTCCCGGAAGCCTCCGAGCCGCCCCAACCATAGGACCCATAGCTGTTGCTTGGGAAAAAACGAATGTGAACAAAGAACAATCTTCGCCCCAAGCATCTCTGAGTGGAAGGTTTTAAGGGAGCCCCTACCCACAATGCACGTGCATGTCATAATTTTGCTCCGTCTTTGGGAAGGCAGGCAGCTGCTGGAAGCCAAGATGTAACTTGCCTTGCGGATCGCAAAATCAAGCCTGGCCTGGATCGTGCAGTCACAACTTGCTTCAGAATTCCATGTCAAGTCTTTTCCTAGCTCGCCAAATCCAAGCAAATATTGGCTTGCTTGCTAATGAGGGTATGCTCTGCTCTCTGAAAACAACTCTACAGAACAAGCAGCCAAAAGTCGCGCTCTCAAACCATTTCTGCCCAACTTTGAATTTGCTCTTGGTGGAATTGGCCACCAACTGGCTACGGCGAAATATCTGCACTCATCCTGATTCATCCACCTGGATTAAGATGCAAAAGTAAAGCATCTTCCTCCCCAGGTGAGCTCGCCAAAGGCCCCCCCACTCAGAAAAACGAATCGGACAAGCGCCCAAAAGAGCATCTGTCCCCTGTCCACCAACACTGAACCTGAGACGATTTCCCCCAAAAAAGGGGCCGTTTCTCTGGTGGGTTCCATGTTCGTGAACAGGCTATCTCCAGCCCTCTGAGCTCCACGCAGGCTGCTTTGAGCTCGAGGGATGGGCTCTCTCGAGATCGGCCTCGGGCCCCTCCCGACATCGAACCCCCAGGCTTTTGCCGTTTCAAGGCGCGTGGGTTTCATGAAAGGTGCGAAATGGTGTGAAAAGAGGTCGCCGAAAAAGGCGGTCTGTCAAAAAAAACAAGGGCCCCAAAGGCAACTCTGAAGAGTTGCTCGGGACTGAGCTTCAGGAGAGCATGCCCGCATGGAGCGATAAGCCTGAGGCAATGCTATCAAGCCGATGTCTTTGTTCCCCAACAGCTGAAAGCTTTGGGGTCTCAGCCCAGATAGGCTCCGGGGTGGTCCGGGGCGGCCCTGAGGTAAGGTTCCACAAGGGTTCCACCAGAGTTCCACAGGGTTCCACCAGGGTTCCACGAGGTTCTGCGAGGGCTGCGGGGTGCGAGCACTAAAAAGAGCACGGCATGCTGTTGGGGATAGCACCCGAGCTTTTTGCTTTTTTCCTCAGCCCCCTGGCAACTCAGCCTCTGGCGCAGTCACCTAGCGAGATCAATCCGGAAAGGGAATCCCGAGCACAAAACCTTCATGGATGTCGCCTGTCTTACCAGAAATCCATGCTCAAACCCAACTGTTGTTTCGGGCATGTCTCAAAAACATGCCCCAACATGGCAAGTTGCAAGCGACACAATTTTCAGGATGTCTCCAAATGTCAAATTCCTCCACTATTCAGTGAGCATCCATATATGTGAGATGCCAGGAAATGCGGAGTGACATGCTGGCTGGAAATGCACCGACCACATACATGCACCTTGGTTCCACTCAAGAGATTGGTGACCCATCGAGAAATCCTGCCCAAGGGCTACAGTGGTAAGGCAGAACTACAAGAAACAACAGGCTGAAAAAAAACCGTCCCAAACCAAGGCAACCCTCGCAAGAACGCATGTCTTCAAAGGCTAACTGCTTGGCAGAAGAAGTTGGCGCTCCCGCCTGTGAGGTTGGAGTGGGCGCTTGCCTTGGGGGGCAAATGGCTTTCTTGGTGACTCATAGAGCCGTGTCAGCCATGCCAGGTCAGCCAGTTTGCGAGATTGGAAGGCCTGTGCTCGAAAACAGGAGCGACCAAGAAGGTGTGCTTAAAAACCGGAGTTCAAAATGGCTGGGTTTCATCATGTTTCATCTGTTTTCCCTCCACACACCCTCTGAGACTCCCTCTTAGACTCTTTTTTTTTTTCTCTCTCTCTCTCTCTCTCTCTCCCAAGGGCACCGAAACCAACCAAAGTCAGGTGGTGCTGCGTTTCGGCGATACACCGTTTTGTTCCCGATGCTCTTGGGTAAATTCCGTCTCTCGCCCAAGAGCATAGAGTGCAACCCATGACTTTTCTCTAAGAAAATCCATCGAGGTTCCAAGCCCAGAGAGGTGCTATGGGTTGCATCGACTCTGAGACGTGTTTTGGAAGCACCTTGGACAATGGCAAAGCGGACATGGCGGGTTGGCAGGTTCGCTCAGCCCGAGTTCCCACAAATCCAGGAAGGATTTGCATGAAACATCCTAAGGGGCCTCTTGGAAAACTGATCCGTTCTCAAACCTGTGGATTGCCAAGATCCGCTTGCCAGTTGGTAGGTGTCTTATGCCGTCCGTACAAAACAAGGTGCGAAGCGGATTTGGCCCATCAGCAGGGCATAGCACTATGTCCCCCTGAGGTGTCCACTCGGCAGCCTGGCGTCGAGCAACAACCAATGTGTCCCGTGCAGTTGGCTTCGTGCCAGTTGAATCATCAAACAGAGCGCCAGCTTACAGGCTCGGTAGTTTTTTGACACATACCCACATTCCTGCTTGGACTAACCAACACACAGGACTGGTGTGTTTCTCTCCGCTGGCCGGCGCTGAACGCCCGGTGCTGAATGAGCCTCCGCCCTGGTGGCATTATCTGAAATAAACTTCCCCATGTCTCAGCCAATAATAAAGCCTCTTGCATTGTATTCGTCTTTAACTGGAAATTCTTCCCAGTCCAACCCTTACAAGCTCAAACCTTTCGAAGAGTTCACTGTACCATCAGGTCTTCAGCATGGCGGACTTAGACAATGGGAACAACAATAACCCTTTCTGGTGTCTTCATTTTTGGTGGGCAACACGCCCCCCAACCCTTTGTTATCTCAGCACAAACGCCAAATTTGCCCCACAAACAAAACAGGAGCAGAGCAAACAACTCCAGCAACTTGAAGAACAGACACCAAAAAGCGTGACCAACAAATCCATCTGCCAGGGTTTGAACCTCCGCGAAGTCACTCTCTGGGATCGAAGTCATTCGAACCGCGCCTTCGGTAGCGCATCCGCTGGGGGGCTCTGCACTGGGCTCCAGGGGATGGCGTAGCTGGGCACCTCGAGTCCCGAGGTCCACGCGAGGACCCAGAAGTTCCATGTGTGTGTCTTAAACGGGGACTTGGTCAGCGTCGTCAAAAAAAAGAGAGGCCTTTTTGGGCAAGAACTTTTATTCAATAGTGGACATCAGAATTCGGTGGGGGTTCATGACCACCACCTTTGAGGCTCCATGAGGTTCCCACCACCCAGGGGGCCACTAAAAATCCACAAGGAGAATAGTGGTTGGTTACAGGGGGAGCTGGGGCAGAATTGCCAGACAAATGAAATGTAGATTCTGTGCCCTCGTCAACAACTCCCCACTGGTCGTTCAACATGGTCACGTATTGAAATTTGGCTTTGGAGCATTCCAGTCACCACAGCGCGCAACGCAATACTTTCGTCACTTTCTAGGCTCCGGGGAGCTTGAGTTACTTTTCTCGCGAAAAGTAGTTGCAAGCTCCGTTAGGAAAAGTCGTTGCTGATCTAGTGTGCAAACCAACAGACTCAGGCAAGTTACATCTCCAAACAGAACCTTCTTTTCGAGCAGCCTTGCATTCAAGGCACTGCCTGGCGATTGGACGCTTCGGGGAACAAAAGCATCTAACGACTGCCAACGCCTAGGAGCAAACAGAACGCGCTGGTTCAGCCACGAACCTCCGCGTTGCATATTGAAGATCTAGTTCGGCCCAAGCATCTAATCTGGGCTGCCCTCAGATCCCCTGCTAAAAGATTAACTTTTAGTGGGTTAAATGGAAGCCCATTTGAAAACTAAAAGTCTGAAAGGCTAAGGGGATGGCTGGGAGCCACCCAGTAATGTATAATGTTCACATCCCAGAGTGGCTGCAGGCAAATCAACCCATCAGGTACGAGAACATGGCATATCTGCCAGAGAAGCACGTAAGCTGGGGATAAGTTCGCCACCAGAAGCAAACAACAAGCATCTTCTGGTTGTGCAAGCAGTTTTGTGTCTGTGTGTGCAGAGTATGCGTGTGCGTGTGCGTGTGGGTTTTGGTGTGGGCGTCTGTGCGCGCATCGGAGGCGCGGACCCGTCCTGCATGATCCCCTGTTTGCACAGCAGGTGCGCGTTTGCGTGCGAAGTTGAGTGACAAAGCCGATGTGTCAGGGAGCGTTAACATCCCCCGCCCACCCCCGCGCAAAGGGCAGAAGCACCAAGACAGGGTAAATATCAACACGTCTCCTCCAACATGTGAACTACTCACATGTTAACTGGTACCCTACGGCTCTAGCTGCGGAGCTGAACATGACCGTTTCCGGGTCCAAAAGATCATCTCCCACCCGTGCCATGTGGTTTAATACCCAAACAAGCAACTCCTTTGCAGGAAAATTCGGCAGTTGCAACCAACCCTAGGCAAACACGCCTCTTGCCATCACGACCCCGTGGTCTTGTTCCAGTGAAGAGTGGTGCCGCAAAGTCAAAGCATGCAAGTGGCCACTCCTGGTCAACTTAGCTCCACGCCGGCTGGCGTGGTCGCCTGCACATGATACCAGGAAGGCGGGGAATGCGCGACAAGTTTTGCAGGGAGCCAGCCATCTGTCGAAGAAACGATCACTGATCACTTGCAACAACCGGGCCAAGTTGCTTTCCGCGGACTTAACTTGGCTTCCACCTTTTTGGATCATGGTCTATACATGTCTATACATATTGCTTGCGTGAATTCTGCGTGGCTCATAGCAGGCTGCACTTCCAACTCGATGCGTAAACGCAATGTGGAACTGCAACTTGACTGTGATGCCACCGGAAGCTGAGAAACAACATGCACAACCAAACATAGCAAGCAAACACATACGCAAAGAAAGCAGACCAGAAAATTGTAACAAAAGACACGAACGAGAAACACCACAACAGGACAGGACAAAGATGAACGCAACACAGCTGATTAACAAAAAGAAGGAGAATAGGGGAGAGCCGAAAAGGAGAGAGAACAATGCAAGGATAGGGTATAAAGCAACAGGCCAAAAGGACGAGCAGCGAAACAGCCAAACAGAACAACCAACCGCCGGGAGTTGCTAAATTGAAGCCGAGGTTTGGAGATATCAACATAGCAGATCTGCATCTGTCCCAGTCACCGCATCTCAGGATATTTGAGGCACCCGAAGAACTGGCAATGGCTAATGGCAACAGTGGTGTACCCACATTCCCACCGGAAATCGCCTCTGTACTGAAGGCAAACATGTACAGTTACACAAATACAAGGTGTGTATATATATATATATATGTAAATGTCTACACATAACACCATTTGTGTACACAATATATATATATATGTAGTCCACATAGTAGTATACAAATATATTACCTGCTTATAACTATTTTATATCCATGCATGGTATATCCGGGCACTCTCCATACCCCCTCCCCTCTGCCTGGCAGGCGCCTGTGGGAAGCCGCCGGCCTCGAGATATATGGCCGGTTTTGGGCGCTCGCCTCCTGCTTTGACCCTAGATTCGAGCAAAGGGGCCGGATCTTGACTGCCGAGATTTGAGCTTCTCTCAGGCCCAAAGAACCGGCAGGAACCACTTGGCCAGATTTTGGAACGGAAAAGCAAAGGTCTAAAGGTCGGCTTCTGGCAAGTGAAGATGGGCCAAAGTCTTAACTGTTTAACGGCCTGTCTAGCCCAACAAGTCCCGAACTGGCTTGCCATCTCTCTCGCAAATAACCCTCTCCCAATTTACATCTGATCTTTGAAACGCAGGGTATTTTGCGCTATCTGGAGGGTGATGGAAGCAGTTCACCTTGATCCTTATTGGTAATTGTGCAGCAAAGTGCATGCACCTTGGACTGGGACAAGCGAAACCTGCCACATCGGCATGTGCCATACTGTGAATCCACACGAGCCATGCCAAATTTACACTTACCTACTGGATGTGGGAAATTAGAAAGTTTCCTGGTTCTTGTGGGAAACTTCGAATCCCCCATGCTCCTCCCGATTGGACCATAGACTACTGTTTGGGGCCATCGTTTGGGACCATGTTTGGGACCATTTTGGGACCATGGGTGTTTGGGACCCAGGACCACCGTTTTGGACCATGGTGTTTGGGACCCACAATTTGGGACCATGCGTGTTTCCGTTTGGGGCCGGGCGTTTGGGACCATGGGTGTCTGGGACCAGCTGTTTGGGACCATGGGTGTTCGGGACCAGCTGTTTGGGACCACCGTGTTTGGGATTTGGGACTGGGTGTTGGGGACCAGTTGGCTGGGACCACCGTTTGGGACTATGGGTGTTCTGGACCACCGTTTGGGACCATGGGTGTGGGGTGTTTGGGACCATGGGAGTTTTGGACCGGCTGTTTGGGATTGTGTGTGGGACCACCGTTTGGGGCCACAGCTGTTTTGGACCATGGCTGTTTGGGGTTTGGGACCATGGGTGTTTCGGACCATTTGGGACCAGCCGTCTGGGACCACCGTTTGGGACCATGGGTGTTTGGGACCACTGTTTGGGCATGGGTGTTTTGGACCATCGGTGTCTCAAACCAGCCTTTTGGGCACTGAAAAAATGCGCACAAATTTCCAAATACGCCCCTCGTATTTGAACGACTCTACACTGAAGCAAAGCGGCTGTGACGACACAGAAAAGGAGGAATAAATCCTGCCCAACTACAAGCTCACAACGATCCTTTGGGTAACCCCAGCTCCCAGTGACAAACCCATATGATTGTTGCTGTTTGTCTGTCTAAAATCAACGGCTGTTTTCTGCTGTTTCATGGTTTTTTGCGCTGCTTTCTGCCTTCGTCTGCCCTGAAGCCTCGCCCCGTTGACCCTTCACGCCCTTTATTTTTCTCTGAAAGTTAAGGGACGGCCCCTTACATAACGAAAAGGCGCGGGGTTTTTATTTCAGTACGCGTCGGGCACTTTCCGAGCTCCGGCTCGAGAATCGCAAATTTTAGTACAAATGTAGTACGCGAAGGCCACTTTCTCAGCTCCAGCTCGTTGATCTGGAACTTTTCATACACAGATGTAGTGCGCGAGGTACACTTTCCGAGATCCAGCTTGAGAATCGTAACCTTTCGGTACAAGCGTGTAACATTCTTAAAGGCAAGCCAACAGTTTGAAAGAACATAACAGGTCGCAGCTTCCGCGCCGCTTCCGCGGCCTGCGTTTCGCTTACTTACCAACATAACCGCCGCCACTAGCCACTAAAAAGCGAATACAGCTATTTACAGAAAGCCTCATATGCCTCTGTATGCATTAGCCACCTGGAGAACCTCACCCAATATGGCCAAACAGGTGTCTAGATCAAACCCCGGCGCTTGAAGATGGGCTCGGTATGGCTGAGGAGCGGAAACTCCCGCCGCAACAAGCCCAGTGCTTCCTCCGAACATCTGTCAAAGGTGGTTAGAAAAGGCTCCATCACATAACTTCCTGCAATCGACTTTTCTGGAGAGGACCCAAGGCCAAAAGTTGACCACGTCCACTCCGAGCGCCTGCGCCCAGGGATCCTTGGAGGTGGACCAAGGACTGGCACTCGCTCCTGCGCAATGCAGGTGAACCAAAAAGGCATGCTCAAGGGATAGACCTTCAAGGAACAAGTTCCCAATGGCATGGAATTTTTCAGATCCGAATCGGTTCCTGAATATTTCCTCCATAGACTCCAATGCAAGAAAGGGTTCCCAGAATTTCTAGAAGGGTGCAGTCGCAAAGAGTAGTGACTGGTTAACCACTTTCTGCCATGCGCAAACGCTCAGCAGACGGGACATCCATACAGTGGGGCTTAATATTCATCTGAAGTTGAGGGGCCCGAATTCAGCCGGACGCGAGCCCCCTCTGATTGACATTCTCAGGCCTGGCCAGGAGGGGCTGGGCCTGAGGCTGACCGGTCCCCACTTGAATGATCAAACCCTGATAGATGACATGTTGCTCTCCTCTCTGTGGAGACCGGCAGAATTGAGAACGTCGTCTTGGCGCAGCGCATCTACTCATGACTCATTTTTGCTTGTTTCCAAGTATGTCCAAACTATGTAAGTGGTCTTGTCTTGGCCATCTCCAAAGGGGCTTTGATTTTGAGACAGGTCACATGCTATGTTCCCGGGTGTCAACTGCACTTCGGCTTTTGGATTGGCCACTACCACTTGGACAGCCAGGTTCCCAACATGTTCATTGAGGCAAGCTGGCTGTTCACCCAGCAATTTAACAGCTGCGACAGCGAAACCAAAACTGGGCCTCAGGGAAGGGACCAGTGGGCGTCAAGCTGTCTCCTGTTTCTTGCGCGCTTGAGTGGGAGTTGGGTAAATTAAGCTGAGAAGCTCTGCAGCCCCTGTACATGAAAGCGTGCGCAAAAGTGGCCTGCATTCCTGCTTGAAGGACTCATGGCCAGTTTGGCAAATCATGTCGCCCGCAAAAGCAGTAACGATGTTCTCCATTGAACTCGACAACACGCTGCCTCAGTGAGCTAGTTTTGTCAAAGCACATGGACATGAACATATATTAGCCGAAAGGAAGAGCTTGCGCAGGATGTTTACTCATCACCATGCCTCTTCAACATCTGCTTATTTCACTGGAGGTGTTGCCAAGGCAGCGAGTCACGAAGTCACAGCTCGTGCCAAGCGTGCATGCGTTGCTCAGTGCAATGCGACAGTGCCGATGTGTACGAACAAACTCTAGATTCTAAGCGTGCCTCGCAATCTGTTTTTCTCGTGCCCCTAAGGCCTTGCATTCGGTCTGAGACTGGCTGGGCACGCCGACTCTGGCCAAGAGGCAGCGGGCGCCTTGGCAGAGGAAGCTATTCTGGCACTCGCGAGGCAGAAACTTCCGATCAACGAGTTGCTCCCCCGCAGCTCTCTCAACGCGTTGCCTGGTAACTCATTCACGCAAATCGCATTTTGCGCTCGATGTGTACCACGGTGGGCGGAAGTTTAAAACATGCAAGAACTACATCTTTGAAGCGCGTTTCTTGTCCGTTTCTTTTTTTATTTCTTTCTTTCTTTCTTTCTTTCTTTCTTTCTCTCTCTCTCTCTCATTCTCTTTCCCTGCCTCTCTGTCTGTGTCTTTCTCTTTCTCTGCCTCTTGTTCTTTCTCTGGCTCTTTATTTCTAGCTCTTCATTGTTGTCTGTTTCCTCCTGCTTCTCGTTGTTCTTCTTTTTTTCTAGGCAATTCTCGTAATGTCTTTAGTTCTTGTTTATATGTTCCTTCTTTATCTGTCTCATTATTTCTTTCTTTATTTATCTATTTATTTATTGCCTTTCGCACGTCTGGTATGTCGGCATCCGGTGTTCACCATACAAATACCGGTTTTGCACAGCACGTATCCTGCTATTCTGTGGCAAGCCCCTATGCAGGGCGAAGGACTAATGTTTGCATGTCCAGAGCTTAGACAGAGAGAATCTTGTGGGAGAATCCAAGGTGGCATGAACATGTTGCCGCGTGATGTCCTCCTAGCCTAGGCTTCGATGCCCGAGCAAGAAATCAAAAGAACCTCCTTTGTGCCAGGCCTGTGTGACTCAGGACGCCGGCCTTCGTGTATGAGTGGTCAGGTTTTTCAGCCACTGCGGAAGCAGCCGACATTGCGTGAGCATTCTGGGACTCCGCCGTTGCCTTTCTCTGTTTGCTCTCTGGCAATTGCGCTGTCCATTTAATGGTCCCTCTCTTCAACCCATTTTGTCCAACGCCAAGCCTGTTTTCAGACCTCCATGTTGCTTCTGCTTTACGGGACCAACAAAAATGGGTCGGCTCGAACACGGCCCACCCGAGCTGCTGCCCCGACATTTGTGCCGTAGCTGGTGAAGGCATCCGCGGTTTCCTCCTCACCTGGCAATTGGTCACAATTAGCACCCAGCAGGGGGATACTGTACCTGTCATTGGTGTCCTTTTAGCGGAAATCGACGGCCCTGGTAGATGATTAAACCACCAGGTAAACCAGGGCCATCTATGTTTCTATCACAACAACCAAAAAGGACACCTATGGTACCTGCATTTGAGTAAGTCGGTGTCAAAACGGCCCAAAATTGGTGGCTTTCCAGTTGATTTACACACACACACACGCCCATTTTGGTGCATTGTCCCCTGCATCTTGGAGACTACTCACGAATGGACTGGGAGCGCTGATCCCCTCCCCTTACTGCCAGCTCAAAGACATGGGCCACACGTCAGAGCCGGTGGCTTCGAGTTGGTTCACTCATTCCCAAAAGACGCGCTGAAGGGTATATGCCTGAACGGCCCTAAACAAAGGGAATCGCGGCAGCTTTCGCAACTGCGTCCAACAAACCAAACGCTGTCGTATTCGGATTTGGCCCTTCAACGAGCAGCATAATCTGAGCATAATACATCATAAATGAGCGTGCTTGACTTGGACTTGCCTTAGACTCCGTTTATTCAACACTGCTCAAACACCCGCGAAGCATTCGTACAACGCGGTTTATTGGCATTGGTGTCTCACAACGCCTTCGCCGCAGGCGACGACATTGGAGTTGCAAGTTCTGTGAACATGACCGGGCCCTCCTTTTTGCTTGGAACACCATGGAACGCCAAACAAAAAACAAGTTGAAAGAAGGCTGTCTAAAGACCTCTGGAGCATTTGCTCGGCCCAGCTTGGCCATCAATAACCCTGGCAAAAGGTACGGATCTTCACCTTACCAGCTACCATGTATACGCCTGAATTCAACTCAGCGGTATGACATTTCGCGAGGGGAAAATAGAAACCACTTGTCAAATGGGAACCAAGCCACTCCGCCAAGCATGCCACAGCTGCTGCTGTCCCCCGAGGGGTTTGCAAAACCTGCCATCGGATCTGTGGCGAGCTGTTGCCGCGAAAAAAAGTTCATCAATGTTTCACGGGGCACCACGGGCTGCAGACTTGACCAGTGCAGTGCAGTACATTGTCTATTCGGAACATGAAGTTGAGCACTGCATAGTAAGGGTGTGTGTGTGCTGCTTGAGGGTACCCTTTATGGGAGTGGTGAAGCAATCAGCCATTCTTTGGGTCCCATGCTTCCAGAAATCCCGTTTTAATCATAATAACAAAAAAGTGTGGGTGCAAAGCAAGGTTTGTCAGAGCGCCCCTGATGCAGGCCACACATCATCCTGGATGATTGAATCACCAAATTTCATGACATGGCATTTCACAGATTCGCAGATTTCAATTCAAGGACAGGTCCCAATTGCTTCTTATGCCATTCAACCGCAAGCAAAGTTGATTACCACCAAATAGAGGTGTGAGGGTATATCCCACAAATGTGGTTCCTTGCTGGCTTGAAGAAACACTTCCCAAAAAACACATGAGGCTCAAATCATTCGCCTCATCATGTCGACTCTCCAACATGTCAAGCAGACATTTGATTGCCGACTCGCAAATCCCTCCCGAACGAACCAAACAAAACTTCCAAACATGCCCCCGACACCATATGTGGTTGGAAAGCAACATGTCATAACGAATGGCGGTATTGTTTGCTACAAACTTTGCCCAAACCACCTGGAACACTTGGAAAGTTTTGAAACCATGAGAACGGACCAACCCTGGAGCACTGCGGCTCACAGGTCAATGCAGAGAAGTATGGCGGTTGCTTTCACTTCAGCCAAAAACTCCAAACAGTTGCACCCCCATGTCTTGGCGCTGTTCAAAATTTGTTCAGGTCATGTTGCATATGTTTGCCTACCCTAGTGTAAATCAATTAAGGGAATGCCCATCTGTCAACCTTGGAACCGCTGGGACCCCGGCTGCTGTACTTCCCAGCGCCCGTGGTAAAGCCAACCGCCTCGCCTACCGAATTCATCAAGACGCCCGAACTGACATCCGAGAACTGGGCGCTGTGCGGTCTGCGTTTCTTGTTGGCACCCTTCAGGCTTGCATGACAGGAAAACCAAAGACAAACACCATAAAGGGTTCCCTATTTTACGACACGCCCGTGTATCGTTCCCCACACGAATGAGGGGCGATCTGCTGGACATCATTCACGTGGGGATTTACGCCCACCAGCCATTTGGGAGAGGATTCCCCATGAAAAATCGTAGCCAGGTTTCCCAAAGCCACTCCTACCGTTCCTTTGGTTTCCCTGGAAGAAACCACTCCCTTGAATGGGGCCCCCTCAAACTCGTACCAGCAAAGACCCCAGATAGCAAGGGTGTGTTGTCAGCTAACAAACTGAAGATGCCCGCTCCAATGCAGAGACACACGTGCCATGCCACCTGGCAGAGCGGCCAGACTCCTGGCTTCGCAAGAGGCTCCGTAGACGTCATTGCCTCCTCCACTTGGAGTTCAAGCTGGCTAAGAGCCTCTCAGGCTCAGAGACCTAAATAGGTGTGGCCAGGGGAAGCGCTGCTGCCTAGTCAGGCCCGCCACCCGCACCAATTGCGAGCCGTGATTGGCCGGCATAAGGGCGAGACAGCGTGACATCCTCGAACGGCAGCGGTTCCCGCAGGCGCTTCCCACTGTGATCACTCACAATGGTACTAAGCCGCAACCACACACTGGGCCTCGTCCTAGCCTGAGGCAAAAGAGAGGCCGCTCACAGGCGGCATGGGCTGCAAGATGAGCCCATGCAGCAAAATGCCACACGGCTTGAAGCCAGTAGACAACATTGCTACATTGGCACTCACTTGCCGGAAATTTGGTGGATTTGCATGGCGCGCACCGCCTCTCAGAGCCGATCCAAAATAATTCTGACAACAGAGCGCTCCAGCAACTCGCTTGCCCAAAGAAGAGGAGACAGGGCGTCACTGAACAACTGGACATTTTTCATTGGAATCGATATTGCTTCGTGCGCGGCTGCCGTGCCCAAGCTGAAAATCACCAATGACAGCTTGTGCCGGTGGTGTGTAGACCCCTACACAGTAAGAAAAAAACCTACCCCAAGCGCACCAAGCGCAAGTATTTGAGGCTGCTGCTTTCAACAACATCAAGCTGTTTCTAGCAGAGCTCGCCTCTTTGCAGAAAACAGCAAAACCTCTCAGGACAAGTTTCTCCCTGCCAAAGGGCCTTATCTGCGCTGGATTCCATTACTCTGACGGATATGACACAAAGTCTCTGATACCAACCGGAAGATGTTGATATTCTCCCAACAAGCCAAGCGAGTTGCATCTTGGACCTCCATCTCCCTCCCCCCCGCAGGCCCTCCTTCGGGCTCCCACCTTGGCAACACTTGGACTGCGGATTCCGGAACCACATCAACGGGCCGCAGAGATGCTGACATCGGTTCAACCACTGCACTTCCCGTGGCAATTGCGGCGAAAGAATCCAAAATCAGAAGTCAGCCTTTTGGGCAACCAAATATGGACCAAAGCTGGAAGGCTCAAAGGTCCAAAAGGGCAAATGAGCCCTTGCATCTTTGCCAAGCCACGGGGAGCTGGCTCTAAAGGCGCGAAAGCTTTCGCCAAGCTTCATTGGGGGACCTGTTTAGTCGGGGGGGGGGGGGGGCTGTGATCAACTCTGCACTTCAGGCATTTTGGGTCAGCTTGTCACATCGGTCGGCATTTGCTCAAAGGTACCGAAGCTCAAGTATCGTCTACGTTTTCGCACATCAAAACCGACACACGCTGCCTTCGTTTGGTTTTAGGGGAGGTGTTGGGGAATCCCTGGTGGATACACGGGCATGTCAGTTAAAATAGATCCAAGACCTGCGCGAAAAACTAGGACAAAACGTTCTCAAGGAGGCACCACTAGACTGCAATCGATTTTACCTGTCCCTTTTGGTATCACACATCTCCAATCCTCATGATCTCCGGCTTAAATCGCAAGGGATGAAGACAAAGCTACGCCAGGGTCTATAGAACAATTCCTAGGCTGGGCACTTCCGTTCAATGCCGGAAGCAAAGGTCATGATGATCTTGCAATGGCTCACCAAGGGGACGAAAAAGAAACACGCCCCAGGACAGGACAGGACAAGTGGCAAGCCGTTGGCAGCTCACAAGCGACCTGCCCTCGTCTGAGGCTGGCACGCAGGGCGCCGTGATGGGCTATCGCCGCCTTAGCACGCAGCGAGCAAAGTTTCGGCGCCGCCAAAGTTTGCAACCAGGTGGCAAGCTGCTTGTTCCAAAACCAAAGCAACACCGCTAGTTGACTGGCTTTGCTCCATCAACAAAGGCAATCCCCGTGTGTTAACCTGTCTGGCGGATGGGTCGCCTCGTTTTCATCCACGCCAGTACTTGATACCCGCGTATTGCCTTTCGAGCCAGCCCGAGACGGTCGCCGCCGCAACGCTGCGGGGAACATGAGATCTCGCATCGCTACACCGCGACCTGTCTTCCCCTTCTCAGCCTTCACAAGTTGCCTGTTCGCCTCTGAAAAACCCCCACACTCGAGCAGCCTTTTCCACCTGCGCGGATCACTCTCGGCTCATTGGGAAGCATTGAGGGGCGGAGAAAGGAAGGAGATCCTTTGGGCGCACGCATGAAGCCGTGCGGACTTCATATGGATAGAACAGTTACGTCGCATGCAAAGCATACATGATACGAGATGGGGGTTCCATGGACAGGGGTTTGCAAAGCAACTGTGACACAGCTCGAATAGGGTGCCGTTCGATAACGCTTCTGCAAAAACCTTCACTGGCCAAGGCCTCCTTTCAAAACCCTGATCATGTTTTGTGTTTCCTCTCGTGATTTAACAATCTTCTTTTTGACCCTTTCAGAATGAATTAGCTTTGTTTAGTGGGGTCATGTTTGAAAGGGATGCAGCACACACAGAAGAAGCCCCGCGAAATTCTACCACATGCTTGTGCTCCTGCTTAATCCTGATCGGCGGAGTCCGCGCCTATCCCCGCTAGCCGTGCTTCCGACGAATTCCGCTAGGAGGAGACTCTCAAAAGGCCTTGCACTTCGAAACTCCTGAGGCTGCCTCACGCAATTCCCGGCCTCCCTGACTCGAATAAGCCCGAGGCAGGAACAGCTTGGACGGGGCAAAAGAAGCATCTATCCGGACACAAACGGATTTGACACATTCGAACTGGGGCCTCGGGCTTCTAGATCTACGATGAAAAGGTGAACAGAGCAGTCCCAAGAAAGCGCACTTGCCCGAAGTTGACCCTTCAAGCTCCACAGCTTTCCTGTCTGGGGGAAAGCTCCCCGGGTTGATCCAAGGCTCCTAAACACAGGGTCTGAAGGGTAGCATCGAGCCAAAGGATTCGTCGAGTATCGGCACGAGGCCACACCAAGAGACATGCCTGATTTCTCTGGGTTTGCCCGAGGGAATCGCTGAATCTCTATCATGGGTGCGGAAATAGATGAGGGCCGGGCCAAGCAAAGCGGCTTGCCCAATCCAACCTTGTAGTTTGAAGGATATTCGAGGCTGATGGATGTTCCAGGCATCGACCTCAACAAATTCTCGCACATCCCACAAATCAGGGTGGGACACATCTCGTGCTTGGCCGCTTGGCGTTTAAGCAGTGGAGCCGAAAGATTGTGATCCGATACAGATTGTGATCACATGACCAGGCTACTCCCTTGGATCTGCAAGTTTGCGGATATGTTCCGTTGCTGTTGGCCTTAGCACTCTTAGGTCCGAAATTGCACAACCCGATTATTCCCAACGAGTCAATGCCCTAGCTTGGGCAAAAGAAGGAGAGCCGGAACCTAAGATTTCGAAACCTGACAAGCTCAGTTCAGATTGCACTAGTTGTTTTGGAGTGAACCCAAAAAACACCTCTAAATTGAGATAGTATGGATGTGTCCTTTAAGAATGGTGGATTTTGATTTCCCTGCAACACCAAAAAGGACCCAAGAAAGACACAACCCACCGCCCTGTGCCCGCGTTCGCCTGGCAGCTGCACGTCATGCAGGCTCTGGTTGAAGCGACAGCCCAGCTTTAGGTCGCGCAAGGAGTCCGGCAGTATGACCCCCACCAGACTCTGGTTGAAGTCCTGGGACCGAGGACCGAGATCGTCAAAACTCGCATGGACCAAAGTGGTTCCTTGAACAAGAAACCTTTAGATCGGCTGGAGGACCATCCTTACCAGCCCCAAGGAGCTTTTGATGGCACAAGGTATGAACTCTGAATTCAGCACCCTTTGGAGGACATGTCTGGGTATTTATCTGCTCGAAGCATTTGGAGGCTGTTCCGCGTGACAAATCACAACTCAACTTTTGGTGAGCCCAATGGGCGTGTCCTGAATCATGGTGCCCCTTTTGCAATGGAGTTTGGAAGAAAAAACAAGGACTAGCAAACATTTGCGGAGTCCAGAGGACACACCCATATCCTTCTGTGCCAAACTGGAACACATGTTATTGAATCCTAGTTTAGAGATGCTATTGTGTTCAGAGTTGTTGATCATATGAGGATCTGATGTTTAGAAAAACTTGTTCATGTTTGTCTCTTGCTCGCCCTTTCCACTCCAATACAGTTCCCCAAACAAACCTTTTCAGGGGAAGCTTATATTTATATGTTTTCAATCGAGCGTCGAAGCCGAAGGTCAGGCTCTGGAGATTTCGGGGCAGCTTCACGCCCACCAAGCTCTGGTCAAAGCAATCTCCGAAGCTCAAAGTCTCCAGACTGTCCGGTAGAGAAACCCGGGCCAGGCTCTGATTGAAGCTGAGGCCAAAGGTAAGGCTCTTGAGGTTTGGCCTCAGTGACCAAAGAACTTCCCCTTGAAAAATAGAAACATATGACACTATTCCTCTGAAAACCAACAGGGACAAATGAAGCATATTCTGACGCAAATGGAAGCTGATATTTGGTTCTGCTGAGAAATACTGGGTACAGTTTCCATGAGTTGTTCTGGGATGAAGAACATGCAGCCGGGCCTTTTCGGCACACAGGGAGACTTCACAACCATGGCTTGCTTGACGAACACCGTGTCAGCACAGTCAAGTTAAGCATCAAGAGAGCCACCAAAATGGGGGCCCTTTTGGAGGACTGTCCTTGCGGTTCTTAAGACCGACCGAAAGGGGTTCCCAACCAAACGACCCCCCCAAAAAGATATGCGCCTTGCACTTTGTGTCGCACATCTGTGGCCCGCGCAGCCGCAGATTCGCGAGGGGGCGGTTGAACTCGCTGCCAAAGGACAGGTGCTCAAGGCTGTCGGGCAAGTTGGCCGCCACAAGGCTCTGGTTGAACCAGTTCCCGAAGCTCAAGCTCTTCAGCTTCTTGGGCAATGTGATGCCGGCCAAGCTCGGGTTGATCCTGAAAGCGAGGCATTGAAGCTCCCGCAGACTTTCCGGTCTCAGAAATCCAGCTCAACAGTCCGTGCTTTTCTGGCATGCGGGGGAACCGTCCCCCAAGCTTTATACCTACTGAAAACAGGACAGTGCGTCGCCGTTTGCCTGCGAGTGTGACCAAAAGCATGTCTGCCTAAAACCCGGAGGCCTCCTGAATGTCTGACCACCTCTTTGACCTGCTAAGGGTCGCCCAGTCCGCAGAAAGCGATCAGTTTCAGTCCCAAACATGGTGGTTCCCTACAGGAAAATTCTCGGAGCGAGCTGCACAAAGTCACTGGACATCCCCTTCAAAAATGCTGCGATTGGCCTGTTCGCTTTTGGAGCTCTCTTTCCCAACTTCCAGTGAAGCTGGCATTACCCGACAAAGAACAAACGGGTTGCCTGAAACTAGGGGGGCCCTGCAAAACTCATGTCGGGTCCTTTTGGCGTCCCTTTCACACAAGCCCCAGTCAGCTTCCATCTGACCTAAATGGGGCACCGGACCCGAAGGCCTGTGGGCGAAGGTGAGGCTCTCCAAGGTCTCCGGGAAGGTGACGTTGGCGAAGCTCCGCTTGAAGCCGAAGCCGAAGGACAGGTGCCGGAGCTGTGGGAAGACTACGCCCTGACACACTGGAGGGGTGGAAAGGGGGGGTGCCCAAAGGTCTTGCCACGAGCTTCAATTGGAAAACAACCAACGAGATTCTTTCAAACATATTGGAAAAATGAGAACAAGTTGCCCCATCCCTCTCTTAAAGGGTTTCCCGTCTAAATGAAGAATTGCGGACATTGGTTCCTTTTTTCTCCGGTATTTCGGAGATGGCTGTTTTGATTGAAAGGGGGGACGTCGCAAAAGTTAAAGCCGCTCATGGTTTTCGTCCAATTCTCCCTTCCACCTCTTGCTCCTTGCTAGGCCGTCCTTTTGTGAGTTGCTTCGGTGCTGTCCCTTCATTTCTGAGACAGCCAAAGCGCAAGCGAAATCCCCAAAAGGTCGCCTTTTGAGACCGAGCCCTGGCTGATCAGATCTCAATTCCCGGCTGGCCCGAACATTTCTGGAGACCGCCCGTTCGCCCTTTCGCCTTGAGGCCGCGGTTGAAGTGGTACCCGAAGCTCAGACTCTCCAAACCTCTGGGGAAGTTGAGGCCCAGGGGTTGGTCGAAGCGCTCCCCGAAGCGCAGGCTCCGCAAGGTGCCCGGCAGGGCCAGGCCCAGCAGCGGCTCGTTGAAGTCCTGCCGGCTTTGGTCTCGGTGCCTATGGGATAGTCACTGAAATTGACCCGAAATGGACATATCATTTATGTGGGGACTTATGTCCAAACTGTTTTTGGACGGCTTCCTACAGGACCTGAAGCCCACCGACGTTAAAATGTAGTTGAAGTGGGTGCTCATTTACATTATCATTGTCAGCTCCTTTCGGTTTCCCTTTATATAAAAGCGGTCCATTTTGATAAACTCCGGCTCCTCAGCACCCAAAAGCCCCATGGACGTTTGGGAATATCATGGAAGGCTTCACTACAACCCCCATGACACCAGGTAGTAAAACTACCACCTATGGCCAACGAGGGCGCTAAGCGGTCTTAACCCTGGTTTCCGTCTAAAGCTTGAATCGCCCTTCGTGTCTTAAACAGCACCTTAGGGGGCTACCTATAGATCATATGCATCTCCAACAAAACCTGGCGTTAAGCTAGGTCTATTTTTTGACCACTAAAGTCACCTCCAAAGTGATGTATTGAAGGGAAGCACCCCCAGCTAACTTTCACAAGCCCAAAACCAGTCAAAATTAGCCCAGAAAGTCTACCCATGTTGAAGAACCAAGCTACCTTCCGCCGCCGATTTGTGTTGG